GTGTGTGTGTGTGTGTGTGTGTGTGTGCGCGCGCGCACAACGATTAGGGCAGCCAGTAAAAATTTAACCATTAGGTTAGTTTGGCTTACGTGTGTTCTATACAGTGATTGTATCTGCTGTATCAATGTTTGACAAGTTAAAAGGATCATGATCCTACATTATTTTTTTTAATGTATTTCTTTTAAATGGAGTTGACTGCTTTATTGATTGTGGCCCCTCAGCTCTTGTTCCCCCCTGCCATTTGCCACGTCCCCTAGCCTCCCCTTGTGCCTGTGTCTAATCCCTGCTGCCTGCCAGCTACTTATGCCTGCCCCCTCATCCAGCTCTATGCACCCTCGCCCCACCACTTATCTTTTGCTGCTCTGTTTTGTTCCGATTCTAAGACAATCATCAGCAGTGGTGGCCCCAGCCTGGCTCCACTCTGCCCACCCAGGAAGAAGCAGGGGCAACAGCTCCAAGCCAGGCTGAGGTGCAGGGGTAAGGCCGAAGCAAAGGGAGGGTGCAGGCTGGCAGGGGGTGGGTGGCACAGACTCTCCAATGCTCCCCCACTCCATTGTGCACCCCCTTCCCTGTTGCACAGACAACCTGAGCGTAGGGCCAAAGCAGGAACAGAACCACCACTTGCCCCAGGCTGGTATTCAAATCTAAGATGAGGCTTTTTTCCCCATGATGTTGGGGTGGGGGTGGAGGGGTGGGAGGCGCAGGGGACAGGGGACATCACCTTGAATTTCAATATGAACATAATGTGGTTATATGGAGGGTCTTATTTATGTTATTAAAATAAATATGCTTATCTATGACTTTCTAACCTTTTTCCTTGGTTTTTAAACAGGCAGAAATACTCAGTGTGCTCAGTCACAAAAACATCATTCAGTTTTATGGAGCCATTCTTGAACCTCCTAATTATGGCATTGTTACAGGTGAGAACTCTTCTATTAAGTCTTTTCTTGATAGTATAAAACATCTAATGTAGTTAGATATTAAGTTTAATGCTGAACTGTGTGTTTTGCTATTTAAATTTTATGGCCCTTTTGACTTTTAATATCTAAATAAAACAAATTATAATGATGTAAGTAGGATTGTGTTTCTGTTTCTCCCTGTATCAATTATATCACTGAAATGCTATATAGATGTATTTCTGGCTGCAAAATTTTATTGCTTGAACCTGCATGCAGTGAGTTATGGGACACGGAACTCTTCCTAATGCATGAACTTAGAACTTCTCAAATGGAATTTTTTTTAAAACTTCTGTTGTTGTTTTGCATAAATGCATTTCATAGTGTGTACTCAGTTTGAATTCAGTTTTTCTGTCATGCAGACCTTATGCAATAGCATCTTACTTCCCAAATTTTGGACATTCCTTGCTTTTGTTTGTATATCTTTAATTTACATCACCTGCCCTAACATAATTACATTATTTGTAGGCACCTTTCATCACCACTGAATTTGTAATAGGTTTAATATTTCAAAGGTAGTATGGAAAAGACAAGAAAAACACTTATTTTTACAAACTATGAGCTATATTTCTTGACAGCCGTATAGATGTAGTGTGGGTACCTGCCCATCTTGTTATAGCTCTGAAACCTTTGTCCTGAGCTTATTTTATTTTTGTTGCCCATCTTCTCCCATAGTGGAGATGTCTGTCTCATTCTCTTTCTGTCTTCAATTCTGGAGGCAGGTTGGAGTAATAGTGCAGCCTGCTTTGTAGGGAGAATTGTGCCTCCCTGGTTCTATTTGACTTTTTAATGTATACAGAAGCTTCCTAGGGACATAGTTCTCAGCAGTGTCCAGTAGGGGTCTTTTAGAGCAAAGAAGGGGTGAAGCTCTCCAGTTGAAGATTCCAAAGGAACCTGAGTGATAACTGTTTCTTAGTCCAGTAGGACAACATGTGTGGTATCCTATTGGCATACCAAAGAAGAACGGGCAGCTCAGTCTTTACTTGAAAGTATTTGAAATACTGGAATGGGCAGAAGAAGAATCTGGCTTCTTCCAAAAGAGAGCTAACCTGTAAGGTCAACAAGATAAGCAAACATGCAGTCAGCAATACATAATGATATCTGAATCATGAAGTCTTCAACCAGCTCTCACAGATGATCAGTATTCCAGCAGCTGATCTATCTGCCAGTCTGATGAAGAGAGAGCTACTCTCAGAGACTCAGACTTTGTCATGGAGAACAAATGGTCATGTATGCAGGTTGTAGAAGAGCTTCCCGTACACGTTCCCACTGCTTCCACTTCTCAGGAAGATACAGAAGATAAGCACAAGCATTGGGGACAGGTTCCGCACTGGTCAGTGACATCTGATTTTTGGAACTGGGAAAGTTAGTGTTGGAATCCCACCGCATAAATAGTGAGACCATACTTGCTTCACAAGGGTCCAGTTCTCCATGCAGAGACAGAGTAATGTGTACTGTCCTATACTTCAAATGATTTTTAACCTTAAAGGCCTGTTCTTCCATTGGATCACATTTTAGCTCATGGTGCCAAGGAAACGAGAAATATCAAGGACCTGGATGGTAGAGCTATGCTGGGCTTTCTGCAGGAGTGCTGACAAGGGATTTCAGCCAAGCACTATAACATGTCAGATGTCAGGCATAAATAGTACCTTACAAACAGAATTCTTGGCATGGAGTTTCAGGCTGGCCCAGAACAGTTTGTCTGGAGCTGCAGTTAGAACTCTTTTTCCAGGGCTTTACCACTAGTGTTAAAGGGTGAAGCCGCCCATGCCTTTCATGGATTCATAGATTGTAAGACTGGAAGGGACATCAGAAGATCATTGGGTCCAGTCAAGTAACTCCAGCAACGTGACTGTCCAGTCTCCTCTTGAAGATTTCCAGAGTAGGTAATTG